ATATGCCTTTGCAGCACACTTATCATTGATATGAAATTGCTTAAATTGAGCAGACTTTAGACAATTGGAGTGTAAAACATGGGATCTACAGCGACCTCCAGAGGCAGAAAGATGAAAACCATCTGTAACAGCCCACATGCTGTCACTGGTCTGTGTTCGCTTCTGACGGAGATGCTGTCTGTGTAGCTGATATTGAAAGAAAACAACTGTTAGCTGTGTTTCTATCACCGTGGTGGTGTTTCATGATCCGAGGCCTGTGCCTCTCTCTAAACATGGGAGACTATTTGTTGGATGAGTGCATTTAATTTCTGCTCTCTCTCAAGAACAAAAGGAGAACTAAACCTTGGCGAAGGCATGTGCTGTAGACACATGACTGTGAGCTCCACTCCGCAGATTGGTGCCTTATGTTTCCCTTTCACCTGCTTTCTGCCTTGTCTTTAGTTTTCCAGCCGCCGGATAGATGAAAGAGCGGTAGAGATAAATTAAACATCAGACTGTCTATGCTTTTTCTGCTCACTACGCTGCGTTCTGGCATCTGACGATGGCAAAGCGATGTACACCTCTGAGAGGAAAGCTCAAGAAATGTGAGAGCGGCTTATAAAATTCCACAGGAAACTCTCGCAGAGTTCACATACAGAGCAGGTTTAAGAGCAGGCAGGCCCATTGAACATGAAATCCTCCAGCAGACTGACAACGGCTCTAAACTGGAGCCTAATATGCACGAGAATCTGAAAAGTTGCCTTCCAAAAATATTTGGACTGCTTTAAATGCATCACACAAATTAGCTAATAGTTTTGTAGTCCGCCCTTAAATTACATTTTCTGTGCAGGCCCATTGTTGGTCCGCTCATTGGGCCTAATTGCGCTGTCTTGCATGAACAACGGGCTCATTGTAGTGCGTTGGTAACGCGGATCCCCAAATTGATAGACACATAACAGGGTCGACATTAATTTGCATTTTAACTAGTCTTTCAGCTATGACACCACATCGTGTGAATTCATTACCACACAGGGCCGCGGCTCATCCAGCCATCTATTAGTAACGCCAATTAGTTTACTAGGACAGGTTTATGAACCACAAATCAGCTCGCAGCTCACTCAGGCAACCACAGCCACACAAACTTTTTCATGTCAAGGCTCTCGTGACAAGCAGATATTTGATAAAAGGTTGTTTTTTTTTCGTCCCAGTGACCCACATCTGAGAGGACATGAAAAGCATGAAAGATTGCCCCGTCAAACATCTGAAGCGCTGTGCATTTATAAATGTCATTCATTTTGAACATCTACGGACAGATTTATGATTCTTCCCGCGATATCATGAGCAAATTATCAGTCCATGTTTTTATGGATCCTTCTCATCCATTTTAGTACCTTCGTATCCCACGTGTAAAACTGTTGGACTTTTTCTTTTTGGATGGATGAGGCTGTGTCCTATATTTGGTGTTTTCCTTCTTTTCTTATCAGAAACAGACAGGCCCTCTGCGTTTTTGAAGTGATCCATGCTGTAAAACACAAGGATACGCGGACGTATGAGAAAAAGCACAACCTCACTTGAGACTTGAGTCCAGTGTGGATATGTAAAGCAGGCTGGTTATTGTAAACTGCCACTTCCAGGTTAAACAGGCCTTGGCACACAGAGCCTCGGTGTAACAAGGCACAGCGAGTCATAGGTCTCCCATTAAAGTGCCACTCATGCGTCTCTTGGGGGAGTTAAAGCCTGACAGACAGCACAAAAACCTATTACATTTATGAAAGGATATCTCCCTTTGCCTCTTTTATGGATTTTAAATTGAATTAGAATACTTTTCCTAGGCCATTCTCCTTTTTTTTTTGCAGAACAACCGGCAAAAACAAGAAGTAAATTTACAGGTTTGTTCTGTCTGTTCTTATAGTTTAGATCGGCTCAGAAAGCCTGACAATCTTCACAGCCAATCGTTTTTTTATTATGAATCCTCCTTAAAGTGCATAAAGTTCCTAAAGTAGCAAAGAGCTTATTCTAAAACCTTTTTACTTGAAGCACAACGCTGTGCTTGAATAGACCAGAAATTAAAACCACATTGGATGTCACACATTGACTAATCACTTACTGTATATTTCACAATTGCATGACATGAGGATGGCCTGTAAATATCAGTATAGTATTAGCTTAACTGTTTGTGGTTTACATTTGATCTCTCTGAGCTTCCATAAAGAATGTTGGCTTTTTGTTATTATGACACATAAGCCATCCAGTTGCAGATAATGCTCAGCATGATGCATATAATCTGTAACTGAAAATAATCCCCTATGAAAGCACTACATACTCCTTTTTAAGTTACTTTTGTTAACTCACTGTAAACCATGAGAGTTTTAGGGGAAACTGACCTTTATGTTTAACAGGAATCGTTTGCACCAGATTATAAACAGTCTTTAAACATTTGGTAACATGCAATTACAAGAATATATATTTTTATTCCATTAAAGAGGAGTTTTCTTGTTTTCTTCTTCTGTACTTTTTACCTGAATGTTGTTATAGCATTAAATACCAGGTCCAGAAGAGACAAAGGCTGCAAATGTGAAATCAAATACCTTTTTATTGTACCTTCCCACCAACATAACACACCTATAGTCCGTCCGATTTCTTTTTAACTGCTAAATACATTCATGTTCAGATTAGTGTCCAGATTTGCGCACAGAGACATTGTAGTGTGATCAACTGTTCATTATGTCTTCATATTCACCATCAATTATGAACAGCCACCTCTGGAAGAGGCCCAGCTGCTTCACGCCACTTATTCAGACCTGCCTGGGTACTACTTTTACATCAACAATGAAACGCCGGGGTACATCTGGCTCCACGGTAAACCCATCAAGGTGGTGCACCTGCTCACGTCAGCTCCGCCCCCTCACCCCCCCCACCCCTCCACCCCGACCTCCCTCCTCCTTGACTACAGTACCCAGCTCGCACCGCGCCGCCCCTCCGCTGCGCCAGTCCGCCCCGCTGACTCGCAGAACCAGTTGGTTTGGCCCAGCTTCTTCTTTCCTGCCTCCTCGCTGTGTGTGTGCTGCTGTTGTTGTCTCCTGGTGTCAACCTACGCCGACGAGAGAAGAAGACATATCCCTCCCTCTGCCTCTCTGTTAGAGGGCCTCCCGTCTCTTCCTCGCCGGCACCATTGGCTTCCGCGCCGTGCCAGTCAACTCGCCTCCTTTCCCAGCTCGAGTTGAGCAGCAACAGCTCGGAAACATCTGGCCGCCGCAGAGTGCTACACTCCCCGTCCCTGCGCCTGCTCGCCTCGGCAAGCCTGTTATGGAAATTAGTCCAAAGTCAATCTAGTTTGGTCTCCGAAAGGGGGGGAAAAAAAGGGGGAATTGGACGGCGGAAGCGGGGAAGACGCTGGACCTTGTTGTCTGTAAGTGCTCCTTCTAATACCGGAGTCCGATTAAAGGAGGATCAGGAGGCACAGGGTGGGTTACGGAGGGGAAAAAGTAGCTAAACCTTCCTTAGCATGACTGTGTTGCCTCTCTCCACGCACGGACAGTTGCTACGTTAGCTGTCCCTCCGCGGTGTTTCACCAGCTGTTGTCATAGCACCGGGGCCTTCGGAACAACTGTAAATAGCTCAATATTGTAGCCCGTGTCCGCCTTACTTTGTTAGCCGTGGACGGGCTTTAGCTAGCTGCGTGGGTCACTGTGTCTCGGAGAGTGTGTGAGTCTCCGTGTCTCCGTTTGTTGTGTCTTCTGGTAGGAAATTATTGTTCGGAGACTGTCCGCCAGCCGGTCCACCCTGACGCTACTTCGACTTTTTAGCTATTTTCTCGCCGGTCAAGTCTGAAACATTTCGCGAACAGCTGCTTTAAAGCCAACTTAAAGCGTGTGACTGGTTTAATTTATGTAAGACTTATTTTCCAGTGATTTCGGGCACTTAAAATATCTCCGGCATGGCTACAAACTGTGTCAAAGTAAGGCAGGAATTCGGTTAAATATATCCCTGTAATTAAACAGGCTAATATGAACTCCACCGGTGGAGTTAATTAAAACTTTCAGTGGGAAACTAATGTTTTAGACTTTGTGTTAATTGCCCTATCTGTGTTATCGGGACTTTTTTTTAGTTTTTAATAAGATTATACGTTGAGAAATTAAAATAAAATTAAAAAACCTACGTCTAAATAGCGTTTCCGTCATTTCTTTTGGGCTTTGCTGTGCCGCTGGGGGAACTTGGTTGGGATGTTAGTGGAGGGCGACGTTGGACGATCCGCTTCCCTGAGTGTTGGAAAGTTTAGTGAACGCGCCCGGGCACCACGGTCGATAGGAAGCACGAGCATTTCTCCAAATTCACACGCTCCGAGCTGCACACTTTCCCCTCAAAACCTGACCTAAAACGAAAGCGAAATGACGCGGTTGTAGCAGCTCTGTCCCCGGCTTATTAAAGCCTCGTCCGCCTCGGTTTTTTTTTTTTTTCTTTTTGTTTTGTGTTGTTTGTATAGGGGGCTGCACTCATTTGGTTCTTTCTTTATGACCTGTTCCCTTTGTCTTTTCATTTCATTTTTGTCCCTGTCATTTGTCCAAAGGCTTCTAACAGGGGGTGCGTGGTTATATAGATTGATGAATGAATGAGGGAGTGATTGAATGAATGGACACAAGACGAGGCGAAGCGGCGCTGAACCGTAAAGAAGTGGAAAACAATATCAGCTGCGTGCGTCTGTCAGTTACAAATGTGCTGCGCTGGCCTTTGTTTCTGGGTACTGGAAGGAGGCAGACAGAGGGGTGCATATTTAAAAAAAAAAAAAAAAAAAAGTTTCCACCTAGAATATTTCTATGTTTGTGTCTCAACTTTCTCTTTACTTGATTGTGTCAGTGGGTGAGTGAACTCCCCCCAAACCACCAATCAGCATCCCACTGCATCTAGTATTTTTATTTATTTATTAGAGAGCGAAGAGAAAAGGGGAGAAAGGGAGACAAAGTTGTGCGGTGTTGGTAGAATGAAAGAGGAGTCTGGTGGCAGGAGTGTAGAGGAGGCAGCATATGGCTGTAGAAAGAGCACAGCTGGAGGTAGCATCTCCATCTGAGGATGATGTCAGAGCAGCTGACAGGCTGCCATCCACCCCACCTCCTCCTCCTCCATCCCTCCGCCGCCTCCACCCCTCCCCAGTCCTTTATTGTGAGTCTCAGCGGCAGCCTGGGAGAGTTAGTGCTGTGTGTGTGTCTGTGCACGCTGTGTGTGTGTGTGTGAGTGTGTGTGTGTGTTTGTGGCTGCCGATCAGCGCCAGTTAGGAGGAGGAGGAGGGAGGTGGTATCTCGTTCCCCCTCCAACATCTCCTCCACTTTGCATCTGTCCCTCGCAGTTTGAACAGCGTGTTTTTTTTGTTTTGTTTTCTTTTTTTTCCTGCCTCCCTCTTCTTCTGCTCTGCTCCTCTACCCACTCATTGATTCAGAAAGGGAAGGATACGCTGCCATTCCCAGCCAGAGAGCCCGGTTATTCTGCCACAGTGGAGTTAATCAAGTTGATGCATACTGCTGCAGGTATCGTTCTGTGTGTGAGTGCGAGAGTGTGTGTTCATCTGCGCGTCAGCAAATAAGAGTAGGAGAGTCCGTGATAGAGGAATAGTTATTTTGTTTTTCTGGTGGGGATCTCCGGTGTGTCAGAGCCGTGTGAAGCTGCTGGCGAGTGGCTCAGCTGTAAGGAGTTGCTGGTTGTCTGAGGGGTAATTGCTCTCCGGGAAAGCGCTCCACTACGTTTTTAGCTTTGGAGTTGAAAGAGAGGTGCGTTTAAAAACTCTGTCCTTGCTACTCTTTACTATTAGCATTGTCACATATTTCGTCTGGACACTTGTGAACAAAAAGCAAATTGAAAATAGTTTTTCTATTTAAATCACCCCTGTTTTGCGCAGTGGACTTATAATTAAAATCTTTATAAAGTCGTTTTATTTTGTTTCAGTTTTCTTTTAGTTTTAGTAATTTAGCAATTGTTTGAATTTGAGAGAAGATGAGAACGTTATTTAATGTTTAGGAAGAGGGAAAAAATAAGGAGCTGTTGTTAAAGTCTTAAATATCTGTTCCGTTTTTCCCTTCCGTCTGTAAAATTACTTGAAAGCATGTGCGGTCCACTCTGCCCACTTTTCCCCCTCCTATCGGCTGGAGTAGAGGAGACTAATTTAGAAGTTGCAGATTTGAGCTGCCTGAATTGGCTAGACAGCTGTAATCGCACTCCCTCCTAGTCTTAATCTCTTTATCTGGCTAGCAGCTGCCATATGGCCCCCGTCAGCTGGATCAGATGTGGGTAAGCCTCCCTCCGTGGCCGTCCCAGCTTCTCCCTCGCCCTCTCCCTCCCGCGCGTCTCTCTCAGACCCCTTCTTGAGCCGGCTGGCCGGGCCGGGTGGGCTGGCTGACTGGCTGACTGGCTGCTGCCCTCCTGAGCCTCCACCGATGGCTCCCTCCCCGCCGCCGCCACTGCCGTCTTTATTTTTAGCCATCTTTAAGGATTAGGATTGATGCTGTGACGAGCAGGGCACTTACAGTGATTGTATTGTAAATCTTCTCTTCTGGGTGGTGGTGGGTGGGAGGGCTGAGGAAGAGGGCAGTTTCTTCAGCAAGGCGGATGTGCTGAGTTTTTCTTACAAGATTCAGATGCGAAGGAGAGCACGAGTGACGGGTGTGTGTGTGTGTGTGTGTGCGCGTGCGTGTAGAAGGAGGAGGTGGCCGAGGGGTTTGGCTGGACAGAGGGGTGGGGATGGGGGGAGGTGGGAGGTGGTACACCCTTGTCCCTGTAAGTCCGCTCATTAAAAGCAGTCTGAGCGAGCTGGAGGGCGAGCACACACACATACACAACAGACAGACGCACACACAGTCTCACACATGCTTTCAGTCTTGGTTTAGCTTCATTCAAATGAGGTGATTTAACTGCTTTGGTTAACACGGTACAGAGCGGGACCAATGTATTTTCTCAGGCAGGACAAATCGACTTGGCTAACAGGTGGGACTTTTTACAGATTCTCAGGCTCTCTTTGGTCGTCTAAGTTTTTTCCTAATTGTTTTTTTTCTTTCATTTATCAACTTGATGAAAACCTCCAGACTGTCCTCTCAGGACACCTGCAGAGCTTTGCAGCGTGTTTTCCATTCCCCCGCTCCCGTCTAAGCTCACACCTAAAGCCGGCGCTCGCAGGTTAAACGGGACGAGCTGTTTTTCTTTTGCTTTTCCAATTGGCCAGTTTTTCTGCTCGACTTAGCCTGCGGAGGTGGTTTGTAGGTAGGCTGCTACTAAGTGTGTGCGCCGTGCGCGCGGGGACGGTGTGTACAGCTGAAAGCCGGTTACCTAAAAGGGCCGTGCCAGGCCAGGCCAAAGTGGGTTAATAAAAATAACCAGCGTAGGAGCAGCGACAATCCAGGAGTGCAAGCAGAGGAGTTAGAGAGATGCAGAAAGACGGGCAGTGGAGAGGCAGAGCAGAGGAATCTGTCGCTGGTGGTTTACCGCCCATCCAGTCTTTTTCGTGGTAAAGCTGAATTCACTCTTGAATTCAGTTTATGTTTATGTCCTTTAAAAAAAAAAAAAAAGGTTTCTGTTTTTAATTCTAATTATTGTCCTTTTCTCTTTTGTGTTTTATTTAAACAAAGTAAATCATTTGAGAAAAAATGAAAAATTTAGATGATTTAAATGCATTACTTTACACGGAAAATATTCCTGTTTATTAGTTTTTTTTGCTGTAGTGATGATAAAACTGTTTAAGCCCGTTAATGCCTTTGCTTTGTCTCCTCCGCTTGCTGTGCGGCTTGTGGTCGGTGTTTTGTACCTCGTCTGCTGTTGGACTTCGTCTAGTTCCTTTTGCGCCTCTGTTATTTTTTTTCTTATATTTTTTTCTTCATTGAACATAATTAGGTATACGTTTTTCTATTATTTCAGAATGTCTCTGTATTTATTTTTTGAATGGTTTATTTGTAATCCATGCTTAATTTTCCCTTTATGTGACACATCTTCCGATAAACCACACTCTGGATGGAAATGTAAAGCCGGACATGGATACTAAGAGCATTACCAGTTGTGCTTATGTTTGACTCCGCTTCTCCGTCTGTGTGTGTGGCTGCAGGTTATGAGGACGGCAGGATGGAGTTCCCAGACCACAGCAGACATTTACTCCAGTGTCTGAGCGAGCAGCGGCACCAGGGCTTCCTGTGCGACTCCACCGTGCTGGTGGGCGATGCCCAGTTCCGAGCCCACCGGGCCGTGCTGGCCTCCTGCAGCATGTACTTCCACCTCTTCTACAAGGACCAGCTGGACAAGCGGGACGTGGTGCACCTCAACAGCGACATCGTCACGGCCCCGGCCTTCTCCCTGCTCCTGGAGTTCATGTACGAGGGCAAGCTGCAGTTCCAGGACCTCCCCGTAGAGGACGTGCTGGCCGCCGCCAGCTACCTGCACATGTATGACATTGTCAAGGTGTGTAAGAAGCGTTTGAAGCAGAAGGCCACGGCGGAGGCCGACAGCACGCGCAGGGAGGACGACGGCGGCTCCAGCTGCTCCGACAAGGCCGACAGCCTATCAGACGGCTCCACCGGCCGGCCGGCCACCGCCGACCTGCTGCACAGCGACGAAGAGGAGGAGGGGAAGGCAGAGGGAGGCCCTCTGTGGCTGAGGCTGCCGCCCGCCGAGCGGCCCGGCACGCCGGCCGTGGCCACCGCCAGCCCCGCGCACGCCGACGCGGGGACGCAGGGCCCCGAGGCCGCCGGGGAGGGAGGGAAGGCGCCGTCCCCGGCCGGCAGCCCCAGCAGCTCCACGGGATCCGCGTCCCAGAAGTCCCACCGCTCCATGAGTTCCCGGGGAGGGCACCGGGGCCGGCGGGTGTCCAACGACGCGGCCGACTGCGTCCTGGACCTGTCCGTCAAGCCCATCGCCAGCAGCAACCACCACCAGTCCTACTTCAGCGGGGCGGCCACGCCGGACCGCCTGCAGAGCCCGCTGGCCGTGAGGGTGAAGGTGGAGAGGGGCGTGGCCTCGGACGAGGAAGAGGAGCTGGGAGGCGGGGACTACGACATGGAGCACAGCGGCCTGGCCAAGGCCACGGCTCCCAGCACCAACGGGGGCCTGGCCCACCACGGGGTGGGGGGGCCCCTGTCGGCCCAGCGGCGGCTGGGGCTGGAGGCGCACCTGTCCGCCCTGCGCGAGGCCTCCCTGGCCTCGGAGCTGGAGCGGGACGAGAAGCCCCCGGCCTCGGCGGACGACGAGGACATCTTGGGGGGGGAGAGCGAGCGCGCCCAGGCCGAGGCGGCCAGCATGGATAGCTCGCTGCTGCCTTACGTGTCCAACATGCTGTCGGCCCAGCACACCCAGATCTTCATGTGCCCGCTGTGCAACAAGGTGTTCCCGTCCCCGCACATCCTCCAGCTGCACCTCAGCTCCCACTTCAGGGAGCAGGAGGGCATCCGCTCCAAGCCCGCCGGGGACGTCAACGTGCCCACCTGCACCATCTGCAGCAAGACCTTCTCCTGCATGTACACGCTGAAGCGCCACGAGCGGACACACTCCGGCGAAAAGCCCTACACCTGCACCACCTGCGGCAAGAGCTTCCAGTACTCGCACAACCTCAGCCGCCACGCGGTGGTGCACACGCGCGAGAAGCCGCACGCCTGCAAGTGGTGCGAGCGGCGCTTCACGCAGTCCGGGGACCTCTACCGACACATCCGCAAGTTCCACTGCGAACTGGTCAACTCGCTGTCCGTCAAGAGCGAGCCGCTGGCGCTGCCCAATGTCAGGGATTGGGCCATCGAGGACAGCTCCCAGGAACTGTGGAAGTAGGCGCAGACTGCCGGGTAGCAGAAAGGGAAGGGGACAGAGAGGCCTGGGGAGGTGGAAGGAGGTGGACGTTTGGGGGTGTAAGTGAGTCATGTCCTTGTTTGTTGCAACATCTCATCCAACTGCACTTTAATAGCACATGAAAATGTTACTACTGAGTTATTTTGCTGTTGCTATTTGGGGTCATTTTGTTTTATTTCTCTATTGTCCGGGACTCTTGTCGGTGCCCGACGCTAGCTCCTCTCTGTCCGTGGTTTCATTTGCGTCTGAGGACACAGGTCCCAGTGAGGGTGTCTCACCTTTTTCCTTTCTTTCTTTTTTTTTCTTCTTATATTTTTTTTGGTAGAGTTTTCACTCTGTTTGTGTCTCATACCCAGACAAAAACACTCCCGGCGCCGGCCAGCGCTTCGGCCGCAGTTCCACAGACCGCAAAACACCACTGCAGGAGTTCAGGTCGAACACACTGAAGCGAAAACAGGCGTTACAATACACTAAACGGGTACTGTGATCACAGGGCCGCGCCGCCACGCACGCACACACACACCCTTTGAAGACGTGTGTGTGCGGCGTGCGCGCGTGTGATACTGCACTACTCTGGCAAAAATTTCACCCGACGTGCGTAAGTGTGTGTGTGTGTGTGTGTGTGTTTTGTGTGTACTGATGTTAATTTCGCCGGGCATGAAGGTGTCGGCGGCGAGGCGCTCCCCGCTCCTCCGGTTAAGCTCTCTGCTGTCGCGTGTTCAGGGGAAAAGCTGACTGACAGACAAACTGATGGCACTCATGCAATGCACAGCCTCCTTTTTTCACTTCCAATCAATCTGAAGTATTTTCTAAAAACGAGAAGACCTTTACAGATAATAATTATTATTGTTATTGATATCATTTTCTTAAATCTAGCTGGCAGTCTTTAAAACATCTCTTGTTGAAAAGGTATTTAATTTAAAGGTTGTTGTATATTGTTCTGCTATAGTTTTAAAACTTTAATCCTTCACATTTTTTAACTTAATGATCATTATTATTATTATTATTATTATTATTATTATTTTGTTACTTTTTTTGTAATGGACCTGCTGTTGTTGCATGACGTCCAAACCTGTATATTTTGAAATAAAATGTGAATTTGCTGTATTACTGTACACATTGTAATTGATCAAATATTTGACAACAGGCTTTCTTTTCCTTTTCTTTGTGAATACTGCTCCGGGGCGGGCCTGTTGAAAAGCTGAACATTATCCTCACGGCTAAGGAAAAATTGCATGGACATTTTACTTTGTCTTAAACCTTTCAGTTGTGGGTTTTAGTGTTTGAGGGGAATCATTTGAACAGAACGTTAGTTTTTTTTGTTATTGTTTTATTATTATTTTTCTCTCTCTCTCTCTCTTTTGTCCCTGCTCATCGTAGGTCTGTCGCTGAGCTCTTAGGGGAATGATACAGAATGTGTTTCTGTCGGATGTTGAAGCATTTTAAGCCTGTTTTTATGCACTGATTTCTCTGCTGTGTGTGCGTGTGTGTGTGTGCGTGCGTGTGTGTGCGTGCGTGTGTTAATGAGTGCGTGACTTGGTTAATACAAGTCAGTTGAACCTACTGAAGATCTACGTCCACCCAGCACTTCCTCCTCCTGCTCCTCCTCAGGCGTTAAATGTCCATCCCTCACCTGTCCGTCCTCTGCAGCTCTAAACCCGCTCCAGCCTTCTCCTCCCGTCTCTGCCCGTCCGGCCTCTCGTTTCAGGGCTGCCGAGGGCCGGCTTTTTTTTGGGGGTTGTTGTTTTTTTTGTTTAGTTTTTTTTGGCTTGGCTGAGGTGCGAAGGATACAGAGAGGGGAAGGGAGAAGGAGAGAGGCTAAACCTGAGCCCGCCTGCTGGAAGTTGAAGGGGGGGGGCGGATGTCTCGGCCGGGGCCGTGGCCCCGTGCGGGGCGGGGGCCCGGCCCGGCGCGTCCCAGAGCAGGTGGCGCCGCCCCCCCCCCCCCTGCCCCCCCCATCCGAGCGCTCCGTTTTGAGATGGATGCGAGAGAGTCGGCCTCCTCGATAGCACCTTTTCTAAGCTAAAAGACATGAAATCAGATTTTTGCTGAAAAGATGCCTTTATAAAAAACGAAAGAAAAAAAAACAAACATTTCCGACTCTGTCGCAGTATCTGATACCGCAGAGCATGGAGAAATGGTCGATGGGAAAAAAGCTGTAAATTCATGGAATTTCTTGAAGTGATCAGGCAGATTGTGTGTGTTTGTGTTCTGGTCACGTGATTGGAAAAGACTTTTGTTTGTGAACGTTGGGGTTGGGGCTACATCAGTTTAATGTTTTTTTTTTTCTTTTTTTTTTTTTTTCCTACATCTGGATCTCAAAATCAGTTTTAGGTTTTAAAAAGACGGTCAAGCGTTGATGCAATCCCAGCACATTTGGCAGAGAAACGGACGCTCCGCATCTCCTCCTCACTCAGACGTGCGCGTATGCGCGTGTGTGTGTGTGTGTGTGTGCGTGCGTGTGTGTGCTGGTGTGCACGTGTGCGTGCATGCCCTGTCATCTGGTGGCACCTGCAGGCTTTGCCAACGCAACAGTGTGGGTGACATTGCGGCAGTTTGCACCATATCGTCTCATTTTTGTCTTGAAATGTTATTTCTTCACCGGCAGCGTTTCTGCATATGGGCTCCCTTCATCCTGCTGTTGTTTTCATCACTACTGCCGGTTTGGGTTTTGTTTTTTTTTTCTTCTTCTTCTTCCGTTCTTTTCCTCTGGTTGTACTTGACCGCCTTAAACTGCTGTAGTCCGGGCCGTTCTGGTTTTTTATTTTGAATTGAAGCGTGCGTGTGGGGTGGAGTGGCGGGACCGGTGTCCATCGCTCTGTGAAGTATCCGCCCCGCAGTGACATCTCCATCTTTTGCTGTGCTTACTTGAAAAACAAAGGGGGGGTGGGTGTGGGTGGGGGGGCTTTTTCTAAAACAAGGGTTAAAAAAAAAAAAAAAAAAAAAAAAAAGGTTTTGGGTGGTGGAAAGGGGGGGGTTTGGGGGGGGGGGGGGGGGGGGATGACTGAGTCTCTTGAAAAAGGACAATCATTGTCTTGGGGAAAAACAAGAAGATTTTGATTGAGATATATTTACTCCCTGTTGAGATTTCAATATTTCCTTGATTTTTCTTTAATGTTCCTTTTCAGATTTAGTCATTTTAGCTTTGACAATCATAGTTGGGTTGATTTTTATTTTATTTTTCTTGGTTCTTTTTTTTCTCATGGGGAGTAAATTCTAATTGTGTTTAGTTTTGTAATTTTCTGGTGTGCTGTTGTTGACATTTTTAAATTGTGTGCAAACTGCAATAAATTATAAGAATCTTGAAATTCAACGTTTGTGTGAAGCTTTTTTTTTTTTTCCCCCGACATTAATAGGTTACCTTTCCGGCCAAAAAAGCCCAAACGGGTCCTTTCTGGGCACACCGGCGCGTCGTGCCGCAGAAGGGCCGGTGCAGGAGGCCTTGGCATCCTGTTCCTCCGTCACTTGCGACGTGGGTGGAAGTTACACGCAATGTGTGTGTGTGTGTGTACGTGTTTGTGTGTTCGGGAGGCTCCAGTGAGTCGTGCTTGGACCCAGAAACGGTGGCCTGCGACACGCTGGGAGTGTGATATATGAGCGGCTCTGGCTGCGGCGTTTGGCTGCGTTTGGGAAGAAAATGTGCAGCAGCTTGTTCAGATCCAATCCCCCCGCAACACACACACACACACACACACACACACACACACACACCCTCCTTCCAAAGGTCCTCAAGCACGGGTTTTCCAGTAAAGAAATCAGCTTTAGCTAATGTCTTGCTGCTCAGTAAACCCGCTCTTACAGATGCATTAAAAGCCCCTGCACTCAGAGGCCAAGCAGCAGCGTTCATTAGGCCACAGATGGCCTCTTCGGTAAGCCCCCGACGCACCCAACTCATGCCATAAGCTCACCGCTAATCTTTATGACATTGTCCTCGGAGTGATGAATGCCTAATATTGGTTTAAGAAACTTAAAGAAGGTTTTAAAAAAAAAGAAGAAGAAAGATTTCACGGTGGTGTCTCAAGTGCCTCTCTGTTATCAGTTACATTTTTTTTATTATGAGTTAAAAATGAAGCATTCGGCCCACTGGGACGCACCTTGGCAATGAAGTTGCGCGCCTCCGTTTTGTCGTCATTAAACAGGTCAGGGCGCCGACTCCATCGAAATGTGGATGCCGGCTTCCAGGCGGAAGGCGTTGAAACTTTATTTTAAAAAAAGTGAAGTTCTGTGAGCTACCTGCTCCCAGCTCCTCCGCCGCAGGTTGTCACTTCAGATGCGGAAAACACACAATCCCTCTCCTTTGATTCTGCTCTGCTTGATCATTAATTGCAGGCTGCGGCGTTGCGAGGGGAACATCTGCTTGCAGACAACTGCTCTCTCTCCTTCTCTGCGAGGAGGTTCGCCGTGAATGTAGGTCATTAATTTGTTTCTGTCCTTTGTTTACTTAAGGAAGGGGGACAAAGGGGCAGCTGCGGAACCATTTGGCTGTGCCCAAGGCAGGCCAGCTCAACATGTTGGGAGGCTGAGACCAGCTTGGGCTCCTGTCTGGGGCCCGGGCCCCAACACTACGCCACATCGCGTGAGGGAGCCCGCTCTGCCAAGCTGCCAGGGAGGGCTCCCATACCACAGGCAGGGAGGAGGGGGGAGGGGGGGGGGGGGGGGGCAGAGAAAGAGGAGAGTCTCGGGTGGACATGTGGACGAGTCCTGATGTTTGCGTTGGTAAACCGGTTTTTGAGTTCCTCTCTGAGGTGACCGCTCGGGTCCAAACTCTCACCACTTATCTCCTTTCGAGTTTGAATTTCTATCATCTTAAAACAGATGTTTGTGTTTCATTGTTTTATTTTTGTGATTATTTACTCCCCAGTCAATCATAGCCAGCTGTTTTTATTTTGTTTTTTGTTTTTTTTGGCATAGCTGTTGTTTGGCATGTATTTGCCTATTTAAATTAGTTTCCTGTCTATTCGTATGGATTGGACAGTATATGT